ATTTCCTTTCTTCCCCACCCATTTCCTCCCTCCCACTCTTCCTTCCTTCCCACCTGTCTATTTCCTTTCTTCCCCACCCATTTCCTTCCTTCCTTTCTCCCTCCCACCCTTCCTTCCCACCCATCTATTTTCTTTGTTCCACACCCATTTCCTTCCTCTCTCCCTCTCACCCTTCCTTCCTTCTTTCCTTCCTTCCTTCCCATCTATTTCCTTTCTTCCCCACCCATTTCCTTCCTTCCTTTCTCCCTCCCACCCTTCCTTCCCACCCATCTATTTTCTTTGTTCCACACCCATTTCCTTCCTCTCTCCCTCTCACCCTTCCTTCCTTCTTTCCTTCCTTCCTTCCCATCTATTTCCTTTCTTCCCCACCCATTTCCTTCCTTCCTTCCTCTCTCCCTTTCACCCTTCCTTCCCACCCATCTATTTCCTTTCTTCCCCACCCATTTCCTTCCTTCTTGTCTCCCTCCCACTCTTCCTTCATTCCCACCCATCTATTTCCTTTCTTCCCCACCCATTTCCTTCCCATCCCTTTCCTCCTCGCCCCTCTCTCTGTTCCTCTCTCCCCCACCCATGAATTAGTTCACAGCATCTCTGCTTCCTGGGGGGGGGGGCACCTGGGGCAGGGGGCCGGTTGCCTGGTGGTCTTGTCCCCCTCTGAAAACCTGTCTTTTGTTTCCTGACTGGCTGCTGGAGGAAGGAGCCCAAATCTTTCCTGTTCCTGGCGGCATCCTTCAGCGTTCAGATCTCCCAGTTGGTCTTTTCCTCCTCTTCCTCCTTCTTCCTTTCTTTTAACTTGTTTTCTCCTCCAACGCAGCCTTCTCCTCATACAGTCTTCCTGGCGAGTTCCCTTTCCTTTTCCATCCTTTCTGTGTGTCTCTCTCTCCCTCCCTCTTTCTGTCTCTCTCTTTCTCCCTCGCCTGGCATGTCTGTTTGATATATAGCATGTTTTTTCCCCCTCCTTCTCTTTCTTGTCTTCCACTCCCAGGGCATATCTGCATATTTTTCAGCCTGTCCAGATTTCTCTTCTCTAAGTTCTGCAAGGATTTCCGATAAGGTGATGTTTTCTGAAAATTAGGCGTGGGGGAGCAATCTCCCTCTGCATTTCAGTCAAGTTTGACACTTCTCAACCTGTTCTGAACCAAAATGTTCTTCTCAAGCTATTATGAGGCAGCGTCACGCTAGGTTTCCAAGAGAAATAATTGCCCCCCGAATACATAACATTGGAAGAGATTATTTCAAAATGTTATTTTATGCAGGGCGTTCAGGAATATGTGCATATCTTAACAGGGAATGTTTCCGCTGCATGCATAAACCAGCATGATTCTTTTTATTTTTATATATATTTTTTTGCTGGTGTGTCATTTTTGGAGTGACTTCCAATTTATTTATTTACTTAGCTCAAGACACTTTACAGAGGTCATGCAATCACTGAGATGCAAATTGAGTTTAACCAAAGCAGCTCATCAACTCTGCGTGATGACGAAAACAGATGCCAAGCAAGTAGGAAAAGTGTTAGGAAAATGTGAACACTAAACAAGGTTATAGAAGAATAGAATAGAATAGAGAATAGAATAGCATAGCATAGAATAACAGAATAGAGAACAGAACAGAATAGAATAGCAGAGTTGGAAGGGACCTTAGAGGTCTTCTAGTCCAACTAGAAGCCCAGGCAGGAAACCCTATACCGTTTCTGACAAATGGTTGTCCAACCTCTTCTTAAAAGCTTGCATTGTTGGAGAATTCACAACTTCTGGTGGCAAGTTATTCCACTGGTTAATTATTCGAACTGCCAGGAAATTCCACTTTAGTTCCAGGTTGCTTCTCTCCTTGATTAGTTTCCACCCATTGCTTCTTATCCTGCCCTCGGGTGCTTTAGAGAATAGGTTGACCCCTCTTTTCTTTGTATAGTGAAAGAGAAATGCCAGACTATTACCAGGTCGTTCTCAACTGTCCATCCGTGGTCAGTGAAGTGAGGACCCGAATTGTTTGGGGCAATACATTGACGTTGTAAAACTCTTAGCTGTAAAGAACTGTGAAGCGGTATACAAGTCTAAGTGCTATTGCTATCTATCTATCTATCTATCTATCTATCTATCTATCTATCTATCTATCTA